CACACACACACACACACACACACACACACACACACACACACACACACACACACACACACACCTCCTTCTGAAAGATGAGCGCCCTCTGTTCCCTCCTCAGCCTCATCGCCTCCTGTGAGTAGCAGTAGTAACGTAACCAGTATGTGGGTATCGGACCTCGGTGCTGGCCCTCCCCCGGCCCGTCTGACCACGTGATCACAACAACCTTCTCACCTGTAGACAAAACACATCATATTTTAGTGCTAGGCTGTGTTTATTTCCGGTCAACAGTAGACAAACACACAAGATTCTGTCACCGATATGTGTTGTGGTTTTGATGTGGTTTGAGTAAAGAGGAGCACATGGACACGAGCCCGGGTCGCTAGGATTGTGCCTCATTTCTGGGACTGCCCTAAGTGATGACAAATGTGAGGCAGCGTGGTGGAATGAGGCTCTCGTCAAAATAAGCAAAGTGAAGAAACTTGCGTTTTTCGCAGGTTTGGGGATTTTTACCAAATTTTGGTCTTTTTTGGCACAACACCTTTCATGTTGATAAAAGAACTCATTTCTGTGTGGATTTTTCTGAAAACCGTAGATTAAAGGCATAAAAATGTAAATCTTCAGTTACCACGGACTCTTAAGCTAAGGAAATATCTAATTTTTGGCGGCCATTTTCTCACCAATTTTACCTCTGAAAACAGGTGACCCCCACCTCCTTCTTTTGCAAATATCTCAACATGTATTCAAGATAAATGGATAATTTTTGCCTCCAAAGAAAGACAAGTGAACAAGCTTTAACTTAGTTTAAGATGATACCAATAACTTTACATGCCCAAAAATTGACGAGAGCCTGATTCCACCACGCTGCCTCACAAATTCTCTGATACCGTGCTCCTTGTCGGCTTCGTCGTTTCTAATTTTAACCAGGTTTTGGGAGTATTGAGAGGATTCCTGACGTCATTCCTAGATTATCCCTGAAGCTGCCTCAACTGTGTAGAAAAGTGGACACGGTCAGGGGAGGAATCCGCTAGGAGCTTCCACGGTACTAGATCTAGTTCTACTCCTTTCTGTCCGTAAGTTGTTTCTTTTTTGTCAGTTGTTTATGTCTGTCGGCTCTTTCTGTCAGGCAGTCTTTCACTCAACTCCAAACGAACGTTTTCAAATCAAATCAAAATCTTATATTTCAATCTACTTTCCCCCTCGGTTTGTGAATCTTTGTAGCCTTTCTCTGACAAATGTTTACGCTTGGGGCTTTCTCTATTTAAAAACATTTCGATAACCTAATTACGAAGAAGTTTCTGTTATTGTTGTTTTGTTGTTGTTGGGTTGTTGTTTTTTTGTTTAGTTTTGTTTTAGGTTTTCTTGTTGGTGTTTTTTTTTATCAATGAGGATTGGGAGAGGGGGGGGGTAGCTGCTTGTTTTGTTTACCTTCCATGACCATCAATGATTTATTCATAGAGGCACCAGCCATCCATGTCCTTACCTTCCATGGTGACGTCATGGACCATGAGCTCTGCGTTGAGGACGTCGAGGGGGACCAGGTTGGTGTAGGTGTTGGAGCGACAGCTGGGACAGTGGCAGTTGTGACGTAACCACACGGCGTGGTACCTGGGGATGGGGTGGAGAGAGTGAGAGAGAGAGAGACTGAGAGGGGGGTAGAGAGAGAGAGAG